TCTCTGGCAATACAACAGAACAATGAAAAAACCCTCAACACAAGGCACATTTAAACAATGTCACTATATTAATAGTTAGTTAGTTAGTTAGTTAGTTAGTTAGTTAGTTAGTTAGTTAGTTAGTTAGTACTACACAGTAAGGGTACTAATCCCAAGATTTAGGTTAATGATTACTTTAAAAAGGCTTTAGATAGAAATTTATTAAACACATTTCTGCAAGATATCAAAGGGCACAGTTTGCTACTGTAGTAAAAATTACTTCTTTAAAAGCTGGCTAGTTGTTGGGTCTGAGAAGGTAACATTAATCTGGGGAATTCATTATTCAGTAGCAGCAGCCAAAGGACATGTCCTTTGTTATTGATGTTTAATCACCAGTTTAAAAGAAAACAAAAAGGTCACTGCTGGTAAAGTTTGCAGTTGACATAACTAAAGTAGTAAACAATAATGAGGATGGACAACTGATCTAGAGAAGTCCCTTGCCTGGTAAGCCTTGCTATTTTGGGCAACATATTTCATCACAGCAGAGCACAAGGCCAGCCACCAAAGACCCAAACCTACCACTGAGGACACACATGTAAATAAGGTTCCAGGAACCAGCTTCAAACCTTGAGGGGCAACAGCAGCTCAAATGAGGCTTCAGGAATCAGACAGGATATCAAACTGAATAGGTGATATCTAATAGGTCACCTTCTTCCAGAGGTGACCCCTCAATGGAAGAAACTACTCAGTTTGTATGAGCAAGGTGCCCGAAATGCAGGGAAGGATATTTCCACTGGCAGTTCTGCTGTTTGTAAGCTGCTGGCAAACTGAAAAAGGATGAGTAAATAATTCTGAAAATAACTCATGGTTTTGGAAAGCTTGCTTTAAATTCAGAACTTTGCAGTGCAAATATATGTATACTTTAAAGCTACATAAGTCTTATTTTATTAGATACAATTTTAGGCTAAATGGACTGTGCTTATGGTCATAGTGCTCATTTCCTCAGATTGCTTGCTCACTCAGGCTATACCTGCTGCACAGCACTTAGACACATCCCAGATAAAAGTGTGTACTCCTAGCTCCAGAATAAATTAACTCCAGGACAAGATTAAGATACACATCATCCTTAACAAAAAGCACTGGTAAAGACAATGAAAAGATGATGAAAAATCCTGATAATTCCTCATTGTGCCATTAGAGAACCTGGACTGCAGAGTGTCCTCAAGTCCATTTGCCTCACTTTAAACTCCAACTCACTGACCTTGTTACCAGGTTCAACATACCTCAACCCTGATCTGCTTATTATAGGGCTCAAACATGCACCCAAAATCATCAGCTGGTCAGCTGAGCCCCAGTTGCTGTCTGTGCATCCACTTGTAGCCACAGTAAGTAACAGGTGCATCTATTCAAGCTTTTTAGCTTCACTGGGATAACATTTTTGAAGCAAATTTCTCTGTTATTCCTGATTTACCATACTTTGTTTCATAGCATGGAACAGTTCTGGGTTGTAACTGGAGTGCTTTCAGATTAAATCAAAGGAGATCTAGTTATGTGGGAAGGAGTCTCCAGTTGGCAGAAGGAGACTTGATCTAGTTTAAGTTAAAAGCACTACAGTGCACACAGGATGAGGGCTGGGCCCTCCCATTTGCTTTCTCTAAAAATACATTTTCCCCACACTGCCATGAGCACAGCCACTGTGTATCCATCCATTTATTCTTTACTGGTGAAGAAACTGACTGGAACTGCCCCATGCCCTGAGCATCCATGGCTACTCCAGCCCCAGAGGCATCCCACAGCCACCACCAAAGCTCCTGTCCTACACTTTCCCCCAGGTGCAGAACATCTCCCTGTTCTTTGGGAGGTGATCTCTCACCAGGCCAGCACAGCACCCAGACCTTGCTCACTCACCTTTTCCACCTGAAGTCTTCACAGATCCTCCTGAGCAGCCTCTGGACAGCCCCCAGTCCCTGCTGCCTCTGAACTGGTGCCGGGGGTCCTGGATTGCCTGGGGTGCTCAGATAACAGTGAACACCCAGGCCAAGTTCTTTACGTAGCATGGAAGAGTTTTCTCCTAAGTTTAATATTTCTGTGGATGTGAGGAATTGCTCAGCATTTGACATTTTAATCATCGAAGAGCACTCCTGATAGTGGGAAATTCTAGATACAGGAGAAATCTGGGAATAAAAAGAAATTACTCACTTCAGGTACATGAATAATAAAGAGTCCTGACTGAGGGGGAGCAGAAAATAGAGGCAGTACCAGCTGAAAATGGAGTGGAACTCTTCAAGGTGCCCACTAGCAGCTGGTATCTTGACAGGTTCAGCACTAGCCCAGTTTTGCTGTTTTGTACTGGTATTGCAGACATTGGAAAGCAAAGAAAATATTTTCAAGCTTATTTTTCTTCTGGTGAGATCTCATTCAAAAAAATTTATTGGGAAACTCACATTTTCTTCCTCAGAAAAACTTCAAGTACAAAGAAGTAACAAGTACCTGAGAAAGCCAGGGCTGCACTCAAGAGCAATCATTGGTTTTATAAGAATCTCTCCTGCTTTACAACCAAATAACCTTGCCTTAAGTCCCCAAGAACTGGATAAAGGTTTCTTACTGTCCCCTGTGTGACCAAGTTGCATTTCTGCTAACAAAAGCAGCTTTTGTTTCCCAGTGGGCTCCTCAAAAGCTTTCTGCCAAAACTTTGAGAAGAAACTATCCACTGAACACATATTTTACCAGGGAAATCTTTCTTTCCACAAATCTTCTTGGAATTTTGTTGTTGTTGTTCTGGGTGGATCTTCTTTCCTTATTATTTATTTATTTATATTATTTTTCCCAGAAATCTGAAAAGTGTTGGTTTACATGAGTGCATTTTTATTCATTTTTGTGGGTTTCCAGTGAAAACAAATAAACAAAGCCAGAAACAATTGCAGCTTGCCTGGCAAAGCAGTCTACATATTGTTGGGTAAGTGGGTGTTATGCTGAGGCTGAAATAACATGAATGATGATGGGATATTCTATCCTAAAAGCAAACTGCTATAATTTACCACATACTCTGCTGCCCTTGCCTATTTTCTTCTGGGTGCTCTCCCTTCCATTTTATTACCCCAACAGAAACAATAAAAAAAAAAAAAGTTAATACCAAGGTGATTTTATACAGATATTGTTCAAATTTGGGAGGGTGTTTTTGCATGCAGTTTCATATTCCTCAGAATTGTGATCTCTCAACAATTCATAAGGCAGAAAAAATGGACTGAGAGAACCTTTTAAGAACTTTGAAAAGAAAATCAGTCTATCTCCTTGTCTGTTGGTTCTTCTTTTTAATGCTATCAAGGAGTCCCTCAAACACTAAATAAAGAAAGAGAAACAAGTTTTCTTCTCACAGTGTAGGTATCACATTATGCTGTTTTGGAGTTCACAGGTTTCTATAATGGGTGTTTATAGATTTTCTGAAAAAGGCTCACTCAAAATTCTTCATGGCATCTACATTAAATATTTACATTCAGGCCAAGAATGTCTTGTAAAATTTTAATAGCATACCCTCCTATTTAAAAAAAAGGCAGTAACTAGACCTCATCCCAAATTCTAGCTCTTATATGAAACAAAACCTTCTAAGCACTGTCCAAAGTGTCATTTCTTCCCAAGGCACAAGGATGTTTATGCTCTTGTCCAAGGGGAGATAAACAGAGCAGCATACCACTCCATATTTGTAAATGTTAACTCTGCAAGGTAGAAACTGGCTTCTGTATGCACCAGGCTTCTGTTCCTTCACTGCTGCAAGAGCCATAATGTGACATATAGGAATGTGTAAATTGAAACAGCAGAGATAGACATGGTGGCCCTGCCACAGAAAAATGTGCAGTCTTACTGTTGTGGCCCACATCATCCTGACTCCAAGGAACTTCCTTTCTGAAATGTATCTTAGGTACCAGCCCAGTGGCTTAATAGAAAATCTGGGACAATTCCATGAGTCTGCAGGGCAGTTCCACTCTCAGGTCCAGAGTGTATCAGAAGTAGCTTTTCTACAGTGAGTAGGAACTGATTCTGCTACTGGGAGTGTGGTAGAAATGCTACTTCTCTAAAAATTTTCAAGAAAACACTATAAGAATTAACAAGGGAAACATGCTGAATGAACTGGATGTGGTATAAGGCCAAAGTACTCACACCAACAGGTGAAATGGAGCTCAAAGAACTCAAGGCCAGCCTTTTTTTGTGTATATGTCATTCCAAAATAGACTTGTGCAAGAATCCTGGTTAATATAACACACTCTTTGCCAAATATGTACTTTAAAAATAGCCATCAACTGTAGGCATACCTTGAGTGGTGTTAGAGCTGTCTGGGTTTTGTTATGCAAAGACTGTGATAAGTTATAACACACTGCCAATGGAAAAAGGAGTGAAAATGAAAAACTGAGCTGCACAGGATTCTTAAATGAGAACTTAACAGAGAAGTTTAGACCATAACAGGCGTGCTTTAATAAATCAGGGCACTTACTCACATGACTAAACATGGATTTAGGATCTCCAGGGATGCAGATGTCTATAGTTTGGAGACTAAAACTATAGTTGGGCTTCTAAGGAAAAAGTGACCAGCATGTAGGTATTGATACTCTGCCCAGAGAGGCCTGAATTTACAGACTCTTCTTTTACAATCTCACTGCAGATTTCATCTCTCAGTAGTCTTCATTTTCAGAGAAACTAATGGGGCAGTTTTTTGCAGTTCTGCTAAACTGTGATCAATTGATTGTCTGTCTCAAATATCCATGTCTCCCAGTTTTAAAATAATTCATCCATCCTGTTTGACACCTAGCTTGGAAGCTCAGTAGAGCAGAAGGTTTTGTATTATTACTGGCCAGAATAGTATTAACCTCAACTGAGGCAAGTTATTAATTTGTGTTACTGTAAATTTGTTTATGATCAATATTATCAATCCTTTTTCACAGACAAAAAGTATGCTGAGGACATGGTTGCTGCTGTTTTCAAATAAACACTCATTGTGCAATTTGGAATTTTTCTTTGACTCGTTGTAGGTTCGCAGCAAAAGCAAAGCAGCCAAGGCTGGACTGTGTGAGGGGGATGAGGTGGTGTCTATCAATGGCAAGCCTTGTGGAGACCTGACCTATGCTGAAGTCATTGTTCTGATGGAAAGCCTGACTGACGTCCTGCAGATGCTTATCAAGAGGTACAGGAATGCTCAGGATGCTTTGGTGCAATTCAGTGAATCACCTGGAAAATGCTGGCTTTGTTTTGCAGACTTATACTGAGAGGTTCTGATAGTCCTGTTGTTAATGTCTGTAACTCTGCTTGGATGGAAAAGGAAGACAGAGAATTTGAGCTGAAGGAATTAATGTATATAATTTGAACAGCAGCAGTCAGGCACAGAATTAATAGTACAGTCTCCAAATGTAAGTATTAATACTTGCAAGGTGTCTACTACCATATATGCATACTGCAGAGCCTTGAGTTCAGTTATTCCCTGCACCCCTTTGAAGCAGTGAAGTGTTGTTATTCCCTACAGATAGGGAAGTGAGGCTTACATAAAACAAAGGCTGTATAGATGGAGAAACTGTGCTACCCAGATAGGCCTTGATGATGACATGGCAAATGGTCTTCTTGGGTGGCAAAATGTGTTAGTGGTCAGGAGGAGGAGAGGGTCTGGAAGTCATGAATTCTATTTCTGTAGCTGTTATCACCTCACTAGGTGAGGTGGGGGAAGTCACAGCTCTCCGGGTCTCAGTTTCTGCCTTTGCAAAATAGTGAGAGGGAATTTTAGTTTTTGAAAGTGCTTTGAGTTTCTTAGAGCAGAGATGCTTCATGCAAACTTGCAATCAGGCCAGCATTACTGCTCACTGAACATCAGTCTATTCCAATGCCTGTTCTGTAATTGCCATCAGTGTAATAAAGGCAACCTGAGTTCAGAGCCACCTAGAGTAAAGCACATTCTCCCCAGACTGTGAATTCAGACAGGATGAACTCTGAGTTGCCTTCAGTGGGGGTAAGGAGAGGGAGAAAATTCTTGAAACTCCCACACTCCTTGTAAGGGCTTAAGGCTCCCCCCAGAGCTACTGCAGCTCCCTCTCACAGGCAGGACCAGGAAAGGATCAGAATTCATCATGACAGCTACCAGAGCAGTGTCCCTGGAAAGGCTGAAAACAGGCACTTGTCTCTGGTTACCAGGGATGTCTACACAGCATATGGAATTCCTCATGGTTCCTGCAACCTGCACAAAGGAGCTTTCCTCAAGTGCTTAGCAGTTCAAAGTGACAGTCTGCCTTCAAAACTAGATGCTCTCAAGGAGTGCCCATTTGATTTATCACAGACATTTTGCATGGCCTCTGATACATTGTCTGGGGCTGAGTAATGGATCAGTGTGACAGGATCAGGGGGACAGAGGTAGCTGAGGATTAGATCTTACCTTCCCCAGAGTGCACAGCTCCTGCTCCTGGTTCAGCAGGGGAGCAGCTGAGTGTTCCTCATGTGATAGCTGCATTCTTCTGTTTTTAATTCATAACGTGGCTATTGGAGCTGCACTTGTAAGAATGATATTTGTGGCTGACCAGCTGTCTTCTCTTCAGCCATAGAAATAGCTCCACATACTTTGACTCCTGCCTGTTGCTGTTCCATAACTGATATTTCAGTTGTCTGAAGGCCACAGGATGCTGCAGCTGAAAGGGACTCTCCATTGCCCCTGCTAGAATGCATGCTGAACAGCAAGGCACGTCCTGAAAATATGAGAATATCAGAAAATATCAGAACCAAAACAGAGTGTTTATACCATATAATTCAGTGTTTTGTGGACTGAAACCATGTCAGAAGTTTTAGGAAAATTGGAGTTGCTCAACACTCTGAAAGTGACTAAAATGTTCTAAAAAAATGCATTGTGAGAATCTTTAAACTTCTTCTCATTAGCTCACCTCTCCCAAATCCCAGTCCTTGCTGTCTGTATCTTCCCAGGTATGAGAGAATGGAGGGAAACACTTCTCTTCTGCTCCCACCTCATTTGTGGGTACTATTCCTCTCAGCACAACCCCCAGAGGGATTTTTCAGGAGGTGTCTTAGCATCCTTTGAGAGCAATGAGAAGCAAATCCTTCCTTTCCTTAGCAGCCACCTCAAGAAAATGCTGGAAACCATGAGGAAAGAGTAATTTAAGTGGTATTCCACTGCTGATCTTTACATCTAAGTATCTTTTGTTAGCAGGGAAGAATATTTTCCATTGGAAAGTCCCTGAATTTTTTGCATGAAGGATGGATTTTCACAGGCATTAATTGTTGACCTAATTCTGCTCTTACAAATCTTACTGAGAGGAAAATTGGGCTTTTAAAATAGTTTTTAAAATGCTACTTGGCCTTTGATGTCTACCAAAAGTTTTCCCAATGCCGTGTAAGCCACAGTGAGTTAGTGACCAGCAGCAGTGGCCAGAAAATGCTGGGTTTACAGGATGAGAGGAAAGCGACACCCTGCAGGGCGGGCACTCCCAGATGCCGTGTGGGGGAGCTTCTCTCTGACCTTCCCGGCAAATGCTGGGCAAATGCTGAGCAGATGGATCCGGGAAACATGGAGAGAGGGGACAGACACTGAAACACCAGCCCGGCCTCCTCACATCAGTGTTAGCGGCTCCTGGGCTACTGCTGAGTCTGGAGAGAACATTTCCAGGGGGAAGAAGGGAGTGCTCCGTGCATGCAGACATGAAATACTCCATGTAGGGAGTAAAAACATGAGCCTATGACAAACCCTGCCGTGCTGACTCCAGGAGTTCTGCTTCCTTCCTGGAATTACACCAGGGCTGTTGTTCCTGCAGTGAGCTGGAAAGGCCTGAAAAAGAAACAATCATTTGACAAAACAGAATGTGAAACTACAAAAAGAAATCATTCCCAGTATTCTGCCTTTTGACACAGGATGCACAATTATGTCTATATAGAGTAGAAGTATATCCATACGTAGCAAGGGCCTTGTAAGGTGGAAATCTTTCTCTCCCACACATACACACAATCATTCAACTACCAATAAAGGCTAACATTTAGCTGGCCCAGCCCCCAGTCCATATCTTAGAAGGAAATGTTTACAGATTTCTGTAATTTATCTGTGCTTGGGAGCACTACAATTGATCATCCAAGCAGCACCATCCGATGGGATCCAGCAGCACTCACAAGGAGCTCCCTAAATGAAAATCTGCCTGACCTTTACCAAGCCCCATATGTGGTGAAATGGAGGTTCCCCCTCTCGTGCTATTTGAGGCAGACCCAGGCTGCCACAAGCAGTGATCTGCATGCCTGAAAAGCAAGTGATATTGAAGTTTCTTCAGCACACTGACAGATTCATTCCTTCTGCTGCTTCTTCCAGCCTTTATTTCTAGGGGGCTCCAAAGTTTCAGAATAGCCAGGGCTGCTTTTGCTCTCAAAAACCTCCCTAGTACTTGATATTAGTACTTTACTGAGGACACCTACCACTTCCCTCATTTGAAAAAGTGCTTTCCTATCTTCTAGCAGATAGAAACTCTAAATAACATGCTGCAGCCTTGCTGTACAGAGAAGATTTCTCCTCAAATTAATAGTATGGTCCAGAGTACTGAAAGAAGGTGCTAAAGAGTACACCAGGTGTCATAAGAGCAGTACATCATCTTAACTGGGCCAGAGGAATTAATAGTTCAGAAAAAGGAGCTACACTGACATATATTGTAGGTTTTGTAAGTGAGAACAACATTTTCCAGCTGGAAATAGTTTATTTTTAAATAGGTAGGGAATATTGTATAGGTCCACTACCCTTTTTTCATGGATCACCAGAATAGGCCCAGAATATTTCAATTAATCCATTATATATAAGGATGATGATCCTCTCAGGCGTTCTTCGAATGTGTATTTCAAATATTCATTTCCCTCCCTCTGATCCTTATCCAGTACTTCTCTGTTCCTTAGGGAGTGTATGATTTGGGACAGGAACCACATGCAAGGATGGTGCCTAAAACAGTTGCAGGAGTGGCTACAGAGCCAAAAATTGGCCACTCCTGTGGTGTCATGCAAAGTCAGTTTTCTCACGGACGTGTGAAATATGAAGAAGTATTGTCTCAAAAGTCTCAGCAGTATTTCTCTGGAAACCCTGTAACAGAAATGTGTCTGTGAAAGCACACTGATGTTAAGAAAGATACAATTCCACATTTTAGCTTAGTAGTGGGGTCATAGCTCTACCAGAGTAATGTAATTTCCCTCTTACTGCACTGCTAAATTGGAAAATTCTGAAAGATACAAAGATGCTTCTATTTAAGACGTCTACATTCTGGGAAAATTCTTCTATTTAAATGGACCTGCTAGGAGGTGCCACAATTAATTTGGGTGGAGAAATACTATGCAGAAATTGCCTTTGCAACTCTATTTACAATGGCTGTGCTTACAGCAGCTTAATTTCTTCAATTGTTTCTGTATGTGCAGATCCTCTAGTGGAATAAATGAAACCTTGAACACTGAAAGAGAAAATGGGAAGCACGAGAACATAAAAATTGAGGACTATGGGGAGAACACCACACTGCAAATGAACACAGAGCAAGAGATACCCCACGGAGATTTATGCATCACAGAGATTTACAGTGGGACTCACCACGGAGCACAAGAAAGCAACACACACTTTGCTGAAACAAAACAAGAGACCACACAAAGCCACAGAATTCCTCCTAAAGTGATAGCCACCCCTAAAGTGATCGTGACAGATGAGGCTGGTGTCAGAGGGGTGGCAGAAGAAGGGCCAGGTGCCATGGTTGAGCTGCAGGTGTCCCTCTCAAATGACGCCCACAAGGCCACCAGTGCTCCTGCTGTGACTCTCCTGGGGGCAGAGAAGTTCCCCCCTTCAAGCAGAGGCCCCAGTGCACAGCAGGGTGGGAGCAGCCCCCTCATCGCAGTTCCCCTGGCTGTGAAGGAGGGCAACATCCAGTGGTCAAACAAAGTAGTCCACTTTTCTAGCAGCAAGGAGGTCAAGAGGATCCAAGGTGCAGCTCCATCTATCCCCAGGGTGGAGGTGATCCTGGACTGCTCAGACAGGGAGCAGGAAGCGCCCAGGTCTCCATCTGAAAGGGGGTGTGTTGATTCTCAAGTGGAAGGAGGGCAGTCAGAAGCACCTCCTTCCCTCCTCTCCTTTGCAATCTCAGCAGAAGGCACAGTGCAGGGAGAAGACAGCAAGCACTCGGAAAAGGAGCACAGACCTCTCAAGCACAGGGCAAGGCACGCAAGTGAGTATGTCCCATCTAATATTTGCACTGCCTGGGGGCATCCTTTATAGATTTGGATAAAATCTCAGGATTTAGAATGTATTAGGAAAAAAATTGTTTAGAGATTTTTTTTTCTGCAGTTTTCTAACTTTCTCTCTCTTTTTTTCTTTTAAATGATGTTTCTGTTCTTGCTTTATGTATTTTTTCAGGGTAATACAGTGCTCCTGGTGATGAGCCAAGAGTGTACCCATGCCTTAACTGCACTGAATAACTTTGCTTAGTAGACTTCCCCTTTGAAATTAACTCATGACTTTGTCCAAGTAAAAATACTTACATCTCCTGAAAGGGCTGAAGTCTGCTGATCTTCTAATTCATATTCAGTGGCAATCTGTAAAATATTAACAAAAAGAACAAGTTGCTTGCACATGTCTAAGTGAATCCTGTGGCTTTCTCCTTTTATAGCAAAAGCTTTGCGTTGTCATTTGCATCATCTAAAACCAAAGCCATGCCATTGCTTTGAAAAGTTAATAAAAAAGTCTAGCAGCAAAGCTTGATGTTGTCTGCAGAAGAGATTTTGACAGACACCAGCATGTGTATAACTGTTACATGATCCTTTTGGTTTTGTCAGCCTTCTCTAGACTGTAAAGTGAACATGTTATTTCTCCTGACTCCCAGACCTAGAGGTCAGCTTCAAAATGTGTCCAAGAAGTTTACATGGAAGCAAACTTGCCACTGGAGGAAATACTGGTTAACTGGGTGTAGAGGTGTATTATTTATTAATTAATCTATTTATTTCTTTGTTATTTTATTCATCTGGGAGCTTGCTATTGGTTGCTTGCTCCTTCCCAGCAATGTGAAGAATCCTGTCTGGGGATTTAGCAGCAGTATGTCAAAGGTGCTTGAATGTGTGCAGTGAGATACTGTAGCAACAAACTATTTCATATGCAGCGTTGGAACTCCTCTGCTAACCCACTGCTAATTCCACTGGAAGCATATTTTTAGCATGATAACCATTTGTGTCTCATTGGCAAGTGGATTAGGCAGTTACTTATGCCGAAGTGTCTGTATGCAACCCACATATTTAGGGCATATTAAATGAAGTATAAAAGAAAAGTGCACATGCTTCACATTTTGGCTGCAAAGTCAGAACCAACTGTGGGACTGTGCCTGCATTTCTTAGGGAATTACTTGCAGTGCCTGTCTTAAAAGGAAAAAGTACAAGGAATGAACTACTTGTTACATTATAAACTCTTCTTTCAAGAAGAAGTCCTGTCCTTTTTCCATGTCAACTATGACAATCTCAGTTTCTTATAAACCAGTGGCAGGTCATTATGCTTAGGAACAACTGATTTACTACAATTTTTTTCATTATTATTATTATTATTATTACTAGTACTAACCTGTCTACACATTAGAAAAAACAAATTGCCTAGCCTAGTGAATGCTCTGTGTGCAGCAAGCACTATGCATGTTTTCTGCAAAAAGAGAAGTTATTACGCATTTAAGTCTGAACTAGAAAAGAACTTTTATTATGATCTCTTTAGCAGAAATTTTCTCTGCAAATATTATTCAGATTATATTTACCTGAATAGGAAGCACTCCAACACTAAAACCCATAGTTTTGGAAAATACCTTCAGTGACTAGTGTAAGCAATTGGATTGTCACAGGACTGAGCCAAGGATTTTGTGATCCTGCTCTCCAACAATAAAATATTACAAATTGTTGGTTTGGGTGCCATGCTTTTTTCTCTTTTATAGATTCTTGTGAGGACCATTGGTCCAGTTGTGCAGTCATCTGGCATAATGGCAAAACTCCAATTGTCTTTAATAGGAGAAGTATCAGACTCCATCTACTGACATGGCTAAAAGGATCACGACTAGAAAACACAGGGCATGGATTTCTTTAAAAAGTTTGTTTTATTTATGTCAGAAAAAGATGCTAAATAATTTACTTTTATCAGAGGCATGTTTTTTCCTTGTGACTACAGATTTAGTCAGGAACAGCTTTAAATTCCAGGTTTTTTGAAGGGAGGAGCTATTGAGGCTGTAATTGATGAGGTACAGTGGTAGAGTACGAAGAAGGGAAAGCAGCAGGGACACCACCTGACTGCCACTGCCCCATGAGGGACATGCTCCAGGTCCCATTACAAGGAAGCAGTCACACTGATGTCCAGTGCATCCATGAGCCTTGCAGCTGCATCTGTTCCTCTTTCAGGAAGAAAGAAAACCAGTAGTTTATGCTTTCAAAAATATTGTCATTGATACTCCAGTGAATACCCTTGAGAAGTTAGTTGAGTCTCCTTGGTTCTGTTCTTAAATGTGTATACACTCTTGCCACATTTCCAAAATAAATATTCTGTATATGTCCTATCTTACAGAACTTATATTTCAGACAAATAATGCTTGTTTAAAGACTGAAATCTGCTTTCATTGCAGACCATGGACAAACTCCCACATCTACCAAGGGGTTGAAAGCTAATTCTAATATTTTCTGTCTATGCCCTTCTGGATGTATACTTGCTTTTAAACAGCTAATGCACAGTAGCATACTGACTTTTAGCAAGTTTGCAATTTACAGGAGTAAAAGAAGCACCTAAATGGCAGAAGCTGCTGCCACTGTCAGACAGAATCTGCTCAGTTTCATTTGGTCTTAGACATTAAGCAGTCATGGGCCTGCCTGGCTGGGAATGGCTGCTGTAAGCCTGGGAACTTGTAGTCAAATACTTGGAAAATACCAGACCAGAAGCTGGATAAATGAGAAAATATCACCTGCCTGTTGGTGCTGGGAATAAAAATTAAGAATGTTAGAAAAAATGTGTGCAATATTCCTGTTGAGCTAAGAGAGTCCTAAAGAAAGTGATGTAGCCTTTGAACTTGCATGGGTGTGTCTCCAAGGCACGCTGGGTATGGCATTTATAACCCAGCTGATATTGTGAAAGTATAATGAACTTTCCATACAAAATAAATGTTTTCATTTTTAATAAATTTGTAAAATTTATGCACTTGTTAGTCTCCTTGCAGTTCGGTGGGCTGCAGGAATTAATTGTGCACTCTGATTCCTTCCCCAGGGCTCCGACGAAGCGAGAGCCTGTCGGAGAAGCAGGTGAAAGAGGCCAAATCTAAATGTAAAAGCATTGCACTGCTGCTGACAGCAGCTCCCAACCCCAATTCCAAGGGGGTGTTGATGTTCAAGAAGCGCCGCCAAAGGGCGAGGAAATACACTTTAGTCAGCTACGGGACTGGGGAGTTGGAACGTGACGAGGACGAGGAGGAAGAGGGTGAAGGTGAAGAGGGGGACAAGGAAAACACTTTTGAGGTGAGTTTGCTTGCAACAAGTGAGTCAGAAATAGATGAAGATTTTTTCTCTGACATTGACAAGGACGGCAAGATCGTGACATTTGACTGGGACAGTGGTCTGCTCGAGGTGGAAAAGAAGACAAAAAGTGGAGAGGAGATGCAGACACTTGCAGACAGCACAGGGAAAGGGGCCCTCATGTTTGCCAAGAGGCGGCAGAGGATGGATCAGATTACGGCAGAGCAAGAGGAGCTGAAGGCAAGCACAGTGCAGACAGAGGAGCACAGGGAAAGCACCGTGACAGAGAACTTCCAGAAAGTGAGCTCGTCTGTCTATCAGTCAAAAGAGGAGGAAATGTCAAGACAGCAGAGTTGTGTGAGCAAAAGTTACACAGACGTGAGCCAGAATCACAGCAAAGTGGTACAACAAAATGGCTTTGGCTTAGCACCTGGCACAAACCTCTCTTTTCAGTCCTCTGGAACTCAAAAGGCAGCATCTTTGAATAAAACAGCAAAACCCTTCCCTTCTGGAGTTCAAAACCGAGCAGCTGCACCATTTTCACCTGTAAGAAATGTCACCAGTCCCCTTTCAGATGCAGCAGCACCACCTCCTTACTGCTCTGTCAGCCCACCAGCTGAGGCTTTCTACAGACCTGTCTCAGCTCCTGTGGCCAGCAAGGCTGCCCCGCCCGCGTGGGCAGCCACGGAGCCCACGGAACACATCGCGTCCAGGGATGAAAGGATTGCCGTGCCAGCCAAAAGAACTGGGATATTGCAGGAGGCAAAGAGAAGAAGCACTTCCAAACCCATGTTCAATTTCAAGGATGCACCCAAAGTAAGTCCTAATCCTGCCCTGTTGTCCCTTGTACACAATGCAGAAGGCAAAAAAGGGACCGGAGCTGGTTTCGAGTCAGGACCCGAAGAAGACTACCTCAGTTTGGGAGCAGAAGCTTGCAATTTCATGCAGACTCAAGCATCTAAACAAAAGGCCCCTCCTCCTGTTGCTCCAAAGCCTTCACTCAAGGTGCCTCCTTCTGCTAGTTCTCCAGTTTCACCGGTTTGGTCACCTTCAGCTGCGGCTTCCAACAAGCCTCCCTCTTTCCCGGCACCAGCCTCACCTCAGGCAGCGTATCCTGCACCACCCAAATCTCCACAGTATCCTCATTCTCCCATCCATCCCCCAAGCACTCTCGACCTTGCTGGTCCTTTCAAAGGGCCTCAGGCCAGCCTGGCGAGTCCAAACCTTGCCCCCAAGGCAACACCAGTCACCCCAAGCTCTGGAGAAACAAAGCCTCCCTTCGAAATGCCACCAGCTATGAGTGGGAAAGGAGCACAGCTGTTTGCCAGGAGGCATTCCCGAATGGAGAAGTATGTGGTGGATTCAGAGACTGTGCAGGCAAACATGGCACGAGCAGCATCTCCAACTCCATCTTTACCAGCTTCTTGGAAATACTCATCTAATGTCCGAGCACCTCCACCCGTCGCTTATAATCCCATCCACTGCCCATCTTACCCTCCTGCTGCTACCAAGCCTTCCTCTAAAGCCCCTGCTGCTACCAAAAACACAAAAAGAAAACCTAAGAAAGGTCTCAATGCTTTGGATATCATGAAACATCAACCTTATCAACTCGATCCATCTTTATTTACTTTCCAGCCTCCTAAGGAAAGCCTTGCCCTGAAGCAGACATCGAAGCTGTCCCCTTCAAAGCAAACACTGCCTTTACCCAGCTACCTTCCACCTGGTGCTGGCTCTCCCACGAGGGCCCGGCCCTCCTCGGTGTACTCCGTGCCAGCCTATGGGTCCCAGCCTTCGTTCCCGTCCAACGCCTCTCTCCCAGGGAATGAATCATTTTCACCCACGGGCTACTCTGTCTTTTCTAAGCCAGAAACCACCACATCCTCTTTGTTTACTGCTCCGAGGCCAAAATTTTCAGCCAAGAAAGCTGGTGTCACTGCACAGGTGTGGAAGCCATCGGTTATTCGAGAGTAAACCTGGTTTCTAAGCAGAAACTTAGTGTCCGTTTTGCTTGCAGTCACTGGCTTGCAGTGGTCACCTGGCACACAGACTGTGCCAGTGGTATTCCTTAGCTTACCTAAGAATGTCAGATGTATCACCTCAAATCTGGGTCCAAAATATTTGAACTTTTTAAAGGAATCAAAATAGATCTAAAATTTTTAGCACATTTATGCATTTTATCAGGTGCTTTATAGAGATGACACCCTGAAATGGAGAGGTGCCACTGCATGAAGTGAGCAGGACACTAGGTTTTTGCTTTAGGACTACAACAATAGAAACAGTGAACAATATTCCTGGTATGTCAAATTAACAGAGAACAGCTTTCTTCCTGTCCCTCTCCCCAACTGTGTTCTAATGATCTAGGGATTAGAGGACTTTGGTGTTGTTTTTTTTTAAAGAAGTGCCTTATTAACTAATAGTAATATGTACTATTAACACAGCATAAAATAGATACAGTGTTAGACTCTGACTGATCACTAGCAGAACACAACTGGAAAGACCTTTGGCCTGCACAGAGCCTCATGGAATTCACTCAGAATCTGTCCTGGCTCGAAGGTCCTTCCACAGGAATCTGATTGATCAGCCAGGGGCTTAGCTAGTAAGCTATGTGGATCAGCTGTGATCCAAAATCATGAATTGCCTCTGTGATTTCACAGAGAACGTGCTATAAGAGATGCTGGAGTGTTATGAAGACTAAAAAGAGGTGGAAAGACAGCTGGACAAATTGCTTAAAATTTCCCATTTTGGGGAAATTTCACATCCCACATGCAGGCATATTTTTAGCCAGAGTTTGCCTTGAACCCAGCAAGTAGGAGAGAAGCCTGTAAATCAAAATTATTGAGCAGTCAGAGAGGTGAGCTGGGTTTTGCAGCTGTAATGTAATGAACCAGTTTCTTGTGAAAGCACAGTGACTGAGAACTGGAGGGCTGCCTATAGTGTAGAGTGCTGATTCTTGCTCCCAGAGTACTGTGTGCCACAGAAATTACCTGTAAATCATGATTATGACCATGTCTTCCTACTGGCCTCTTGTACACATTTAATTTTCTTCTCTTGGGCCTCTACAGTGCTTCTTCACACTTTAAATCTTTTTACTCTGGTCTTTTACTTTTATCTTTTACTTGTCATATTGGGGACTAAGGATTGAAATACTGCTACTGGGGAGAGCTTCTAAGAGCCTGTGATCTTGAAATGTACTGTATAATCCTGCAGTAAATCTAGAGCAAATATTTGAGTAGTTTAGCATGGCTTTCATCATCATCAGTGGTGCTAGGGCTAAAACAAGGTGCTGTTTCTCACAACTAAGGGAATCAAAATCCATCCCAGGTGGGAAGCTAAAGATTAAAGCATAACTCTGTGAATAAAGGAGGCAGAATTTGTTGGTATATTTGTTTAAACTATCATTCAGCTAGTTACAGACCAGATTATGGACCTTGTATATCATGGCAGGGTTTGAAGAACCATCTATCTCAATGAAGAAAACATTCCTAAGTATGAACAAAATCTCTGTAGTTTGGTCCCATGATGGCAACTCAAACTGCAATCAAAGATGAGAAGAATGCATTTGGTTGCACATGCAGAAAGCAGGCTGAATTCAAACTCTAATGAAACCAATAAAAAACATTCTTATGAATTTTGGACCTCCAAAATTCTACTCTCCTCTTTAAATTTTAGATTGGGATAATGACTGCATTAGAAGAAAATGACCAAGGGGCCCATTTCCCTCTTAAAATTCAGAAAAAATATAGGATATTCAGAGGGGGAAAAAATTGGAAAACTCAAGAAATAGTTATACTGCATTTACCTGGAAATAGAAAGTAGCAATATTTTAGTCCTTTGGAGATCTCCCTTCTACCTGTTTTCCACTGTCAATACCTGTACTTTTCTTCTATCATTAAACTTGTCCCTTTCCTCTCTGCCTGTTTGTGGCTTTTTTCTTTGGTTTGGCTGCTTTTTTTTTGTTTCACTTCCATGTACAGACTGTACAGTTTATTTCTGGGGGAAGTCTATTTCCTATGCTAGTTTGTCAATACAAAAGCTCCTCCCTCCCCTTCCCCACCTCTTTCCTCTTCCCTTTGCTCCCTCCTTTCTCCCCCTCTTTCCAAGATCAATCTGGAGTAGCACACACTATTTTAGGTAGACTTTAAGACACCAGGATATACGTGGAATAAAGATCCACTGGCAAAGGTAAGTAATGCTATGAAGAGACACAGAAATCCAATCAGCCTCATATTGCCTTCCATGTTTTTGCTTAGTCTCCTCCTGTAGGGCACATCTGTAAATTATAATCATACTTCTGTACTTGTTCACTCCACCACCAAAAGAATATTTCCCTAAGGAGGAGATTTATAGCAGCTTTGTCCTTCCTCCACAAGTGTTGGTATTGATGCCTGTGGCTCCAAGACACAGGAGCTTCGAAAGTGCGTCTATGCTGAAAAGCTGAATTTTGATCACATTTGCATTCAAATACAAATATTCTATATGGCCTAGAACAATGACAGAAGGATTTTTAAGGCATCAGTAAGAGTTAAAAACAAAAGTCCGAATGACATTAGTGCTCATTACTCAGTTTGGATCTTTCGAAAATCTCATTCAAAGACCAGCTTTGAATTCAATTTCTTATATACACATCATCCTACACACATGGGACTTGCATCCAGCTTGGCTTCAAGACTCTTTTTACTAATCAGGTAAGTCTTTAATTCTTATTACTATTTCAAAAGACTGCTCTGCCTACAGGTTTATCCAAGATGTAATCTCTCGTGAAGCAGATATTTAGAGGAAAGCTGAGCGGCTCATTATCATGGGTCTAGATGAAAAGCTAAAGTCAAATGTAGCTGAAATGTCAAGAAAATGAATTATTTGTGTAGAGGAGCCATCTGAAATTTCATTTGGAAAGGGCAGTGAGCTTTTGTAGATGGTTTTCTGAAAAAGCTATTAGAATTATTTTATATAATATGGCCAGCCTGCCAAGATGCAATTGTCATCTTTGCTATGGAAGCATATTTAACAGTGAATTTTAAGCCATGTCCAATAACAATACTTCCAGTATGTTTACATTAAAGGAGGAATTTACGTGTTTTATGATTATTTTAACACATTTAATTAACACAGATGGACGTATTATAATAGACCAGTTTTGAACTCACATTCTAGACAGCCTTTCCATAAAAACAGCTACCTCAATCAAGGGTTAATATATCTTCAATTTATGATTAAGTTATAAACATCCTGCTACGTACCTGAATTGGAAAGTTTTGTTTTGGAGATGAGTGGCTTTCAGAAAAAAGTTAAAATTTCTGCTGCAAAAATGAAAGGCAAAATTTAGTTCTTCGACTAGAACTAAAGAACTAAAGAAGAACTCTTCTTCTCAAGAACTGCTTAACTCCTCCTCCCTTCTTTAGAGGAACCACTCTTACCATGTCCCTGCTTGAGAAAAAATAATATATTATGAAGCAACCAGAAAGAGATTTCAATGAATTTTTCCTGTAGGAACATTTATAACGTAAACATTACCAACATTTATGACGTAAACTCTTACAAGCAAGCCTCATTCTTTTGCTTTCTTCTCGTAAGGAAGAAACAAAAATAAGAGGTTGAGGTACCAGCAGGCTCCAAAAAAAAAAAAAAAAAGGAACTGTGGAGTTTGTGTGTGGTTCAGATAGACAAAATAGTGCTAAGTGGCAGAGCAGAAATTTTGAGAAAATAGTACTGGGATTAGAGGAAGGCAAGCTGGGGGGACAAAACTCCATAAAAAAAGAGTGACTACACAAGATAAAGTACCTGTCAGAGGATTTTGAAATAATGAAGGTAAAAGAACAGCAAGAGGGGCTCATTTGTTCTGCATATAGAGACAGCTGACTATTTCCAGACATTTCCTGATTTTTTTTTGTTGAACTCTGAGAAAAGATGACAAGTAGTTTTAAAGAGAACTTCACACCAGATGATGGGATCTGGGAGGAGCATTGCTTATCAAGTTTCCAGGAGGAGAGCTCAGCAAAGGACCAGCCTGACCCTGGTGTGCTGCTCCAGCTGTTCTGGAGTGGGGAATGCTCTGTACACTGTGAGGCAGGGGAGCAGCAGGGAAATGACAACAACTAACACTGTGCAAAATGTTTCTCCTCTCTTTTTTCCAGGATCCTTTTCCAGATTTGCTAGCTTTAAAATTCCAAACCCTTTGGTTCTAAAAAGGTTCCCTCTTCCAGTCTTGCCTTTTTAAATGATGCAACTTTCTGTACCTGAAGTCAAACAGCTGGGATTGCACTGGTTGCTTTGGTGGTTTGGCACAGCAAGTGCAAATCTTAATTACACAGCTTGGCATAATGGTATTTATAATGGCTCTGCTCAGCTTGGAATGGAAACACTATATGATGAAGAAACTTGACAAGATCTTCAAAACCCTGTGGATTCACAAGCTCTGAATGAACTCACTGCTGGTAGATCTTTTGGGAAAATATGTGAGCCTGGTAATTTCATGGCAGTCTTGGTGCCCCCATCACAACTTCACAGTACCCAGTACAACAACTGGTCTTACTTTACAGTAGACATTACTTTTGCATGCCATTACATAAAGGAGAAGTTGGGATCACTCAAGAGTTATTTTTGACAAGTGGTTTTCAGGCTGGTTGCTTACTAAAGGAAGGCCTTCAGGTTTTCATCAAATGATTTAAAAAGTAGAAAAAATCCTGAAACTCTATGTTGAAATGATCTCTACAGATGCAGACTTGAACTCTTCCTGTATGAGCTAAGACAAACCATATGACAGTAATCCCATGGGTTTAATATTTGCTTCCTTAAGTAAGGCAGGGAAAGACTTTTTCTTTGTGTGCTGATCAAGTCTCCAATGTACGGCATTTAAAGGAAAAACCTATTCCTCATTGTAATGATCTTGACAAACTTTTTAATTGCAGTGCATGTGAAACCTGCACAAACATCTGGGTTAATATAA